ACCCTAGCCACCTGGCCATGCCGGGCCACTTATTGAAGGAGAGAAGTGTGTGTTAGAGCTTGTTAAGAGCGTTTTATAGTTAATTTTACTCTTTTTTTTTTTTGTTATATGAAATATTGTGGTTTCAGCATGTGAACGAATGGATGAGTGGCTGGGTTTCAGTATCTAACAGAACCGACCGTCCACTACTTAAACCACAGATCACAATATTTCATTTAACGATTTCTCTGTTATTACTACAGGAACTCTACATTAAAGAAAGTTTACTCATAGCTAAAGACCGCCCTACTCTTAACGACTTGCAAACCTCTTTAGATCTAAAATTATTATGGTTTACATACTTAAAAACTCAACTGTTTCAAAATATACGGTATCTATAATAATTTTTTTATCCTTCCGTTGACCACTCCACTTAATAACTACGTTATCTAGTGATTAATGATACTATAGTTTAAGTTAATAAATATCTTTATAACAATATTTTCAGATTTCGCCGAAGATGGAATAAATGTATTCCAAAACATTTGAACATTGTAAATAAAACGTTTCGTGTTTTGTCAACCTTCTTCATCTTCATTACTAGACTTCGTTTTCCCCATCATGAGCATTGTAAGAAGTATCATGTTGGATGATAACTGGTAGTTATTTTATATAACTTTAAAAAATCGGTTTTAGAAATTCCGTTATACTGATTTGGTGTTAATTCAATTTGCAATTTAAAAGGTCTTCATGCCAGAGATTAATATATTCTGTTATTTATTTTTTTAAACAGGAATGGAACTGTAGCTTTTGTCGAAGGCGTCAAAAGCAAGATCGCCTTGGTATAGAGTCGCCACCAGGGACGGGAATGCATCGTGTTCCTTCAGTTCGACGAATGGTAAGATAGATATATACAATAAAAGAAAATCAACTAAGCATTAATATTCAAAACCAACACAGAAACCGTGAGAAATAAAAAAGTAGCCTGGCCTAACTGTTTAAAGAGGGCTGAAATATTTTCTATAAAAAAATAATAATTTAGGCAGAATTATCTAAGCATTATAAAAGAGTCTTGAATAATTTAAATACATATATATATATATATATATTTACTTCAAATGCTTTCAGAATATTACTAATTTTTCATAAATTATTTAGAATCAGAGAATGGAGCTGTTAGGAAGGGAGGGATCAATCCTAGTTCCCGAACTCTCTGTGGACTTAGAAGAAAAAATTGGCCTAGAAGGTAGTCCTCCTTTCCGTCTAGAAAAGAAGGAAAGCAAGCGTCTTGCAGAAGAATCGGACCGGAGCTTTAGCCTGGAAAGCCGTGACCTGAATATGATACAACAAAGTGACCAAGAGCATGAAATAAAACAAGTGTTTGAAACAAAAACAAGTCAAGTAGAGAAGCAAAAACCTATTGAATGTATCAAAGAATCTAAAATAATCCGAGGAAGTAGCAGGAGCACTTCTAGAGCTTCTTCGCCCGAGATGAAAGGTGTTTCTCGTTCAAAGGATGGGCATTTGTCCTTAGACTTTTCTTTAGAAAGAAGGCCTTCGTCTGAGTACCGAAAAGGGACGAGAAGATGTCAGACAGAACATGGATTGTATACAAGCTCTACCAGTAGTCATCATCAACATCATCAAAAAGATTCTTCGCAACAGCGCCATTCTTCAGCGTCTGAAAGCTCTATAGATGAGCACCGACGTGACGAAGTCGACGAAAGAAAACAACGAAATAGAATTAGAAAAAGGTCTCGCATTCAGAGACAAAAGTACTACGTAGAAGAACCTGATTCAGATCCTACTATATACAGAGTAAATATTCTGGGTCGCAGTGATGCAAAATCTTCTTTAGCATCTCGCGAAATAATTAGTGGTTCGGCTGAAGCATTGAACAGACGACTCAACTACGTAACTGATCATTTAACTAAAAAACCTTTGTCTCTTGCTGGCGTTGACATCGCTAACCGTCATAGTTCTGATAGCTCAGAATTGAGTGATGTCAGTGGTGATGTTTCACCCTTTAGTGACCGTAGTGGACATAAAAGACTTCATGGCCCTTACTACAGTGGTGAACGACTAGAGGTCCGAACCTCAAAGAAACATCAAAAGAGCAGAAAGCCCAGTGTAGAATTTGCCAAAGAAAGAACAATAAGTTATGCAGGAGCAATGGATAGCTCTCTTTCTTCTGATGAACAAGAACTCATTCGTTTATCTACTGACAAATCTTATTCCTTGGAAGACCCCGAAATGTTTCTCTACCCAAATGTGTCCCTCGGGAAGAGTATCCCCAGTGTTTTTGTGGAAACTGTTCCAGACATTGACTCCCCTCCCAGTCCATACCCCCAAAATGAAGAGATCATTAGAAGACACAGCACTGGTAGAGTTTTACCACCTGTCCCTGTACCAGAGAACCAGTTAGGGTTACAACTCCTTCCTTCAGGCGACAGACACAGTACATACTCTTTAAACCTACCATATGATGAGAAAGGCCTACATGAAAGACGGTCTTCCGCTCCAGAGAGTGAAGACATTAAAATTGCCATTAATGAAGTTGATAGTAAACTCAAAAGTAAGATGAAAGTTTTTAGCTATTTTAATATCTCAAATGGATGTTGGCAAGTACATTGATTCATTGATTAACAAATAATTATTTTAAACGTGTTCATGCAGAAAGCTGTAAAATTTATTTATTTATTACATTATTCGCCATTATCTTTGCAGTCTTGTTTTTTATAAAATGTAGCAACAATTTCATAAACTGATTCATTGATTAACAAATAATTATTTTAAACGTGTTCATGCAGAAAGCTGTAAAATTTATTTATTTATTACATTATTCGCCATTATCTTTGCAGTCTTGTTTTTTTATAAAATGTAGCAACAATTTCATAAACTGATTTAAATATCAGCATAGTCCATCTGCTGGAGATTCACCATGCCTTGATGGGCATGGAATTAGTAGGTCGTATAAATACATGTTTCCAGAAATGCCAGTGGCATTCTTTTCGTAGAGTTCGAACTCCCTGCAATATTTACACTCGTATGTTGTCCGAAACATTTTACAGCAACTAATTGTAGAGCAACGCGTATTTTCATTTTACGAACCATTTTAGCAGTGTTTTCGTTGCTATTTCATCGCCAACAGCTCGAATTTATCGAATATTCGAGGGCCCATTAGTATCCTTGTAATGTTATTTCAATGCTGAAATCGAATTCATTATCAATATTACTTTCAAATGAAGGTATTTTTGTTCTTTGTTCAGTGTTAATTTCCCACATGGAATGGGATTAGAATATTTCGTCACAAGGGGTAACATGTATTGGTTATACCCAGAAACAGCAATATGATGGCCCAAGAATAGCTTAATCGTTACTTCTTAAACTTCGATTTATTTTTTAATTATAAGACCGATCTTTAAATAATATTTAAAAGAATGATATTTTAATACTATTTGTTTGTAGTTAAGCACAAAGCTTCACAATGGTTTATTTGTGTTCTGCCCACCACGGGTATCGAAACCCGATTTGTAGCGCTGTAAGTCCGCAGACATACCGCTGTGCCACTGTGGAGCGATATTTTAATACTATTTCTCAATTGCTAACAGAAAACAACTATTATATGGTATTTACAGTAACTCTTTGAAATCACATACAACTAGGATGACCAAATTTCCAAAATGGTCATTATAAGTTTGGAATAATTTAACTTTTATTTAATTTACTTTGAATTTATTGAACAATAGTTCCAGTTATATTAATATTGGCATTGTTTTTGAAATATTTTCAACTACTTTCTTTGGTGATAGACACATAACAAAAAATAGTCAAATTATACACACAAGAAATCTTTAATTATTCATTTTATCTAACTCATCGTCAAATAGGTTACTTCATACCTGGATATATTTAAGAATCCATAACATTCTTCGACATACTACTTTTAGATTTTAGCATTACTTTGAAACATTTTAGACATTATTTTATGAAGAATGAAGGGAACGTAGAGGTTCCCATTTTTCCCCCATTAAATATTCATAAAATTTAGTACATGACCGTGTAAAGTATGTTTTGATGGTGAGCTCTGCCTCCTTAACTGTCTCCAGATGCAGACCTGGGTTTCTAACCACGCATAGACAGGACTTTCGAGAGAGTTTAGCGATAGGAGAGTACGTGTTACAAAAATAAGCAAAGCCAAGCAGGCCTATTTTATTCGTGATTCGATGTGACGGACAGTGTGATGTCTAAATAATAAAATCGGAACGTTTTCTACGTACCGAAAACTTTTCTCTGGGCACTGGGACAAACTACCAAAAAAAAACGGGACGTCTGGTCATCCTATATACGACCAATTTTTAATAGCACAGATCGAGCACTTACTAGGAAAGTGGATTTTCCTTTATCAAGGGTAAATTACCCTTTAGTCATGGTGAAAGAAAGTTCACTTCCCGATAGCACTTAGGTTATTCGGTTTATTTTCTGTAAACTTATCCTCTGTTGACTTGCATGTTTTTGAACACCGTGAGCTTTTTATAAAGATTTGTTTGTTTTGTTTTGAATTTCGCGCAAAGGTACACGAGGGCTATCTGCGCTAGCCGTCCCTAATTTAGCAGTGTAAGATTAGAAGGAAGGCAGCTAGTCATCACCACCCACCGCCAACTCTTGGGCTACTCTTTTACCAACGAATAGTGGGATTAACCGTCACATTATAACGCCCCCACAGCTGAAAGGGCGAGCATGTTTGGTGTGACGGGGATTCGAACCCGCGACCCCTAGATTGCGAGTCGAGCGCCCTAACCACCTGGCCATGCCGGGCCTTTTATAAAGGAAAAATATATTCTGTCCTGTTAAGCCCCCGGTGGGTCAGCGGTAAGTCTACAAAATTACAATCCAAGAATCAGGGATTCGATTCCTCGAGATGGAAAAAAAGAGGGTAGATCGCCCATTGCGAAATAATAATGATCTCTATTGATTCTTCTTCGACAGTTTTTTTTTTTTTTGTAAAGAATGTGCATTTTGTTGTAATTAGTATAGTTTACGAGATTCATAAATCCGAGAAAAGTCATAACTGATGTACATAAAACGAAATTGCCGGAATCGTTCCTGCTAAATTGAACATTAATTTTTCGTTTTATGTTTTTAGGTACAGTAATTGCATATTCCACTAAAGTATATACAGTTGCAACATTTAATAATAAATAATAATAAAATATTTCGCTTTTCTTTCTCGTTTTCGATTCCAAAAAGTATATAGAAAATGTTTCTTTTAAACATTTTGAATTTTGGTGAAAATGTCTTAAGTTTCAACAAAAACGTAAGTGACAAAAGAAAACGATGTTCTGGGCTTTAGTTTGAGAATGTTCTGTGTTTGTGGTTTCAGCAAAATCCAAGCCTCGATTAAAAAAGGTTCGTCTACATAGAGACAAAACAGACACAGGAGCAAGAAGTAAGCAACGTATATCATTATTACATATATTAATTAAATGCATTAAATACTGTTTTGTTTTATTGTGTGCACTGATTTGATACCAATAATTGTATTTGTTTTCTTATTTGTTCTAAGAAAATAATATACAACATTGTTTGACTGTTTCTTGATTACTTAATGCAATGAATCAAGCTACTTTTTACAAATAATTAAAAACTTCGTTATTTTTCGCTTTCTTTATCATGCTATTTAATTTATCTTTGTTGTATTTTAGCAATTATTTCATGTGTTTATCAATTATCTAAGGCTTATTGTTGTATTTTAGCAATTACTTCACGTGTTTATCAATTATCTAAGGTTTGTTGTTGTATTTTAGCAATTATTTCCTGTGTTTTTCTATTAATATTATCTAATGCTCATTTTCCTTCGTCTGTTTTTATTTTTTATTTTTTTTGTGGATGTCACCTTTTTTTTACAGTGACATCGTTCTTATTAAAAAATGTAAATAGTTTCTTCATTATAATGTGAAAAAAATCATTTAGTTTTACTTGAAAGTGGACATAGAAAAAAAAATTATAGCAAACATAGATTATGTGGAGTGTTTGAACTGTAGGAAAAAGGGGTGTTTGAACTGTAGGAAAAAGGGGTGTTTTAATAATTGCTTTTTCCCATCTCTCAACCTTTTACGCGATCGTTTCGTCTAATTTTTCAATGCCTTGTTTTCAGCTATTTGCATGATTTTTTTGTCTTCTTTGATAGGAAAAGAATAAAGTTTACAAGCCCTCTTAAAACTTTTTATTTCTTTTTCCTTACTTTACTCTCTGTAGCACGTGGTTTCGGCATGAGAGTATTAGGCGGAAAGTCAGCTGAAGACGGAAAGTTATACGCCACTGTTGCTTGGACTCTACCTGGGGGACAGGCTGATCAAAAAGGCATACATCAAGGTTGGAGTATAATATTTGAAGGGACAGATCAAACAGATAGACAGACAAGAGAAATAAATCAACGAAAGACAGACAGAGATAAAAAGAGAAGTTTTATAAAATACAGTGATTAGATATAAAGCATTTACAATTAACAATTTCCTGAAGTACAGAGAAGAAACTAACATAAATTTTAAAAAAAGAACGACCACAAAATGTGAACAAGTGAATGTTAAATTACAATGTCGAGGTATAATCTCACATCGTTTTTCTGAACCTATCTTCTCTATTTTAGCTTATCTATATTTTGAGCTCAGTGATAATAACGTTAATTTATTAATAACAAAAAAAAACGGATTTACAAAAAAATGTTTTTTTCCCTTATTTTACAGGGGACATAATATTAGAATGGGCAGGGATCATTCTGATAGACAGGACGTTTGAGGAAGTATCCTCTATCATTGAAAGTACCGGCGACACTGTGGAAATAGTGTTTCAAAAGGAGAGCATAAAGTATGACTTTCTTATTATCATAATATTTTAATATTAATAACATATAACATAAAACTTCTTGTTCTATTCAAATCTGCAGAATGTTTGCCTCTTAGACCGTCTATGTATGGAGTACGAGTTCAGTGCTTGATATCATTCGAATAATTTTGTTATTTCTATGTTATGGCTCCTTGTACAAGGATATCATTTGACACTTTTTATATCGGGCGAATCAGGGTTTCTTGTAAAATAGTGGTATCATTTGGTACGCTACTTTCTGTATTTTACGAGTAAGGTTTCTGTAAAACAGGAGATTCATTTGACACTTTTCACATATTGTTAGTCTGGGTTCTTCATAAAACAAGAGAACCATTTGTTACTTTCATATCTTGAGTATATATAATTAACAGTTAATATTATTCATGACGTACCTTTGTTTACAGAAACGTCAGTAAAAAACCTTTCGTTGCGATGAGATAGAAAGTTTAACAAAAGTGTTTTACGGCATTTAAAATAACCGTCTTGTAGATAATTCCGTATTATCAAGTTATAGCATTTGAATTATAGGGAAAGTTACAAAAAATATTGCTTATAAAAATTCCCCTTCAGTAGCTTTTGCTAAATTATATCTTTTTTCAGGGCCGGAGAAGACAAAAGTTCCAGGTATTCACCCGGCGAACCTGCTCAAATGTCTCACCATAAAACAGCTTTGGGGACCAGCTCTGTCCAAAGAAAACCTAGGCAGCTTCTCATGCTTACTCCAGGTCATTTCTTGTGTTGTTTTTCCGAAATCTTTCTCTATTAAAATATATAATCAATGACATGAAGGCCATTGAGCCGAATAATCAACGACATGAAAGCCATTGGGCCGAATAATCATTGACATGAAGGTCATTGGAGCGATACGTTATATAATGACATGAAGGCCATTGGGCCGAAATGTTTATCAGTGAATAATTTTTACTTTACAGCAATTTCTACCATTTCCTTGCATTTAATAAACATACGCTACATATTATTTTTCACATGCTCTAGCACATGTCAATACAAATCACAGTTTTTGAAAAAAAGACTCTGTAACGAAGCATCAGATCTGTGTGTTTTAAAAGTTGCGGAGCCCTAAAACGTGGTTTCTTGTGCTTGGAACGTCATGCACTGTTAAGTTTCCTTTAATAGAGCAGTCAGAAAAGAAAAAAAATCAATTCATATTTTTTTTGTAATAAATGGTGAAAAAGAATGCTTAGAATACGTATATAATGTTAATATGTGTCATTGTTATATAAAGTCGTATTATAATGAAATAAAACCATTTCTTGATTCCCCGATGTTTGATAATTACGCGATAGTTCGACTAAATGGTCACGTGAAGAGACCCAAAGGGTTCATATAGTCGTCATTCTTGAGACAGAACTAATGACCAGAAGCAGGACAATCTGTTAGAGCACTGTTAGAGTCTACATGGCTACTCTTATTTAAGTAGTGGGACTTATTTTCACAGTTGTAACATCCCACGCTTGAAGGGCTTGAACCCTCAATCTTGTGATTAATAGCCTTAGCACTTTAATCCGATCTCTTAATTATTATAAATATACTTGTATCTGATTTACTTAATACTACGACTAAAGCCATTTCTGTGAGTATTCTTATATTTACTTCAGATTGTATAGAATTGTCAGAAGTTGCTTCTCACATCACAAGTGTTAGATTTTTTTTCAGTTTATTAATAAATTCGTCCGAGACTAGGTCTTATTATAAAGATATAAATCAAAGTATTCCAGCCACTCACGTTACAGTCAGAAACTACTACCATTTTCTCAAACAGCATTCTGGATATTATGAAAACATAGAGGATGAAAAATAGATAAGTCACAAAGCAAAAAACTCGATAACTCTAGCTATGTCGGAAGGAAGGAAGGGTTTATAGAAAGCACTCAAGTTGTCGGGTTTCTGGTTTTGTGATTTATCACTTGATACCAAAAAGTACATATTCAGTCTTTCTTGTCCACATAATGTTTTATAAAGAGAGTTTTGCTATTGGTTCACAAGATATTCTTGTACGACATAATGTTTGTTTGTTTGTTTTGAATTTCGAGCAAAGCTACACGAGAGCTACATGTGCTAGCCGTCCCTAATTTAGCAGTGAAAGACTAGAAGAAAAGCAGCTAGTCATCATCACCACCCTCCGCCAAGTCTTGGGCTACTCTTTTACCAACGAATAGTGGGATTGACCGTAACTTTATAACGCCCCCACGGCTGAAAGGACGAGCATGCTTGGTGGAACGGGGATTCGAACCCACGACCCTCAGGTTGCGAGTCAAGTGCCTTAACCACCTGTCTATACCGGGCCCCTCACGATATAATTTTTATCTCAAGAGTTAATTCGAATAATCTCACACGGCTGTTTTATTTATTAATTTTTTAAGTTCATCATTGAAATATATAATACAGTTTTGAAATCCTATGCCATAGCAAAATGATCATCAACACAATTTTGCTTCATCGATATGCTTAAAATGTAGTCGAGAACCTT